CCCCGTAACCCGACCCTGGATAAGTTTGAAAATGAATGGATGAAAAACCTGAGGAAAGAAGAAAGACATTACCAAATCACGCTAACAACAAAGCTTTAGAAATCAATCCTTCCAAAGGATAATGTACATAAGTTAAAAAGCCCACGGTGCTTTAATTGATTAAATTTACTATTTAGTGTAGCTTTACGTGACATTCAGCAGGCTCAGCAGATTTAAAGGTGTGGTTCACTGAAAAAAACTGTAAACACTTATTTCTGATTATAATCATTTTTCATTCAGGCTGAACATGAAAAAGTCTCCTTCACCTATCTCTTGAAATTGCTTCAACTTTTCTGTCCCTGCATTCTTGTGGTTCCAAGCACGACTGTTGGCCGCTGATTGGCTAGGGGATGGAGTCGCTGGTTGTTTGAGGGCTTGTTGCCTCGCTGCCTGCAGCCATTTCCTGGTTCACAGTCTGACAAAAAGCCAAAGAATGAGCTGAGTGTTGAAGATCGCCGACACTGTTGTGCTAAGTTTCTGTGTAGCATGCAGATCACCTCATGCGATTTTTGTCTCAAGTGATCTCGCACCGCCCTTGAAACCCACTTTCTGGCAGGGAAAACCAACTACACTGAGGTGAGTTGTGTTAACTCACGCTGTGAGTAGTGCCAATGGAAAAGACCTACAAGTGTACTGAGCTGTTCCACAAAGAACCTGTCATCACTAATTTGCTAGGAGGTTGAGTCACTGGTTATTCCATTAATGAAAAAAACACCTAAATCACTCAGAACAGAGTCAAGTGGAGCCACGCCAAGTAGAGAAAATGCCCAAAAAGTTTTCTCACATCCACTTTTTAACCCTGGAAACTAAACTGAGGGGAGTGAGCACTGGTGAGAAGAAAATGCTCAGACATATTTGAGTTTACAGCTCAGTAAGAATGGGGCTCAGCAACTCACGAGGAGATTGAGCGCGAAGGTTTGAGACATTATGGAGACTTCCTTCATCAGCAGTGGTGGTTCAGGAATTGTCTTAAAAACTTTGCATCAACACTCTTTACTTACAAACGGTTAGCTACATTAGCAAAGACAGACTTCTGAAATTCTTCCACCGTGGCTGCCTGTGTTTTTATTCATTTATGAGAGGAAATGAAGGGGAACGTGTACTCGATGTGTGAGGACAGGAGACAAGTCTCTGCTGCCATTTGCCGTTAGCTCACTCCACCTGCAGAAAATGGAGGGATTATAATTTGTCTTGTGAGAATATCCAAGCATAGAGGAATGTGCATGTTCAGACCCGATCTGCCTTATTTTATTTTAATCTCTTACACACTCGTCTCCCAAACCCCTGTCATGTTCAGGCCGCAGAATGCATTTGGTTGCTTTCAAGCGGAAATCGATTAGCAGAATGGCGAAGCAGCGAGGCTGCAGAGCAACTATGAGCACTTAACTTTTGTAACATGAAGAGAGACGGCCAGACAGAGTGGAGATTAACCTGATGCCGAGTGGCACCAAACACTGGCTGGAAAATGAGAGTGAATGCAGAAATCAATGACCGTGCCCTTTAACGAAGGAGCATTATTATTGTCTGGGGATGTAAAGCACAAAGCACATAACCTTGTATGTACATGTGGGCCAAATACAGACGTTCCTAATAGCCATGGTTATGGAGATCACCGTTGCAAATTGATAATAAATAGTCTCTGGTAGCAGAATATGTCTGGCAGTCTGCAAATGTGTAATCTGATGTGGTGTAAGAGATTGAATCAGTCTGTGGCAGCGAGCTGCAGCTAAGGCATCACTGAGATGCTTAATTAAAGACACAATCACAGGTTGTCTGACATGTCGTCACCTGAATTCTAACTCTCCATCACAAACCCAGATGTTTCACCGTGGAGGTTTACGTCACAGATCTTAGTTCAGTGCATAAAAGTTAACAACATCCCAAAGGAAAGTCAGGCATCAGAAGCAATTAGACAGGCAGCGTGAAGTTTGACACACGAGGCTCGGTTCAGCTGCACCTGAGGATACCAGGAGGTGGACTTTTTGCGTGTATGTGCTGCAAAAAGGCTCCTGAAGGAGGAGATCTTGTTTGCATCTCATGCATTTTATTTTTCTTTGACTCTACTTGTGTGTGAATTAGTCCAACAGAGGATATGCACAACTAGCCAGGAGCATGACAGCCACTTCTGGTAGAGCGAGACATTTGGTTGTTTGTGCAGTTTCGCGTTAATGGTCTGCAAAGCGTGTGTTTTGGCTTCAGAAATGCTACCGCTCCTCCTGTCCTGCAGCCAGATGAGCAACCTGTGGGTGGAACTGTGTCCACAGAGCTCAAGGGCAGGAGATTTTTGAAGGAAATCTGAAGTTGTCTATGCTCTGTCTCATTAAAAACACATTATAGCTCCCTGTGCACCACCCACTCAGCTCCAGCTACACTGTCTGTCTCTTTGAGTTGCTCTTTCTACTCAGACTCAGGTGAGAGCGAAAGGCTGCAGCAGAGGCAGGAAGTCGTTTGTAAAAATAAGTCAGATCTTATAGTTTCATCAGAGTAAAAGGGCAGAAATGGCACGGCTGCATGGGGCCTCCAGGGGTGATTCAGTGTGACAAAATTTTTAATTTTACAGATTTTTCTGAAGCTAGACAAAAGCATTTGTGTGCTAAAACCAATATGATGTGTGCCCAGATGGCATTAATTTAGTAAAGATGCATGGACTCAGCAAAACTATGAGGTTATTGTTCCTTTAAGCAATACATTTTTATATGTTGCTTTTTCACTGTATGAAAAAACTTTTTTGATAAGGGATGTATTTCTTTTGTGTGGTGCGATTCTAACAAAAAGGAAAAAGAAAAAGTTCCCATGCATTTTGAGAACTGTAGAAATAATACAGATGAATGTCTTGATATTTTAATCCTTTGGGTCTGGGTGGGCAAATGATCTTTTTATGTTCAGCCCCTGTGAAGTGGGCCATTTAAAACTGAAGTATAGAAGAATGGATGCTTTCAGCCTGAAAGCAACAATAAGACGGCTTTAGAAAAAGAGATAGAGCAAAAAAGAAGAGGCTCCGAGCAGGAGTGTGGTGTAGGGAGGGAGAGATTAATTAGAGCCAACTGCTGGAATCAATAATCTTAGGAATCACAGAGCTTTTTCTTTCCCATAACCAAGCAGAGAGGGTGACAGCTTCAAAGAGCAAAGACCGTTCATTTATGACAGAGCAGCGAGACAAATGCATCCTCACCGTGCCTGAGGAGAAGAGAAAAAAAGAGGGAAACCTCGGCCTTAATGTGATCTTTTCCTCCTTGATTCAAAACAGTTCTCCCAGATTTTGACCTCATTTGATAAACTGACTTCTCCAAGTCCAAACGGTTCTGCTGGTTCCAACGTGCAAATGTAAGCGTCTTCAGGTACACTGAGCATATCTGCAGGACCAAAGGCAGTGAGGGACACGATAACCCTGACACTATTCTACAAGTCTCACCAGACACCTGTTGTTAGCACTGCACACTAATGACTGTAAGTGTTGTGAAGCACCTTGTAGAACCCCAGAAGTTACTATATATATATATATATATATATATATATATATATATATATATATATATATATATATATATGTACACAAACCATTTACAGTTCTAAAATAGCCAGCAATAGAAAATAGACAGGAAATACTTGTGTTAGAAAAGCCAGTGGCATTAGCACTTCATAATGTCCAATTAGCAGTCACCCATCTTGTCTCACGACAAGAAAGGCTGTTGTTGTTTTAGCACTCAGGAGAGAGCAGAGAACGTCTTGGCTAGTAGAAGCTAACCATTAGCATTAGTAACTTTGCCACACAGCAGAACTCCTCCAGGCTTGTGTTATTTGTGGAGATAAAACATCAACGTTGCAAAACAAACAGAATCCATGGAAGAGTCACGTTGCTGTTAGCCAATCAAAGGTAAGTTGTCCAAATGCTGATGTACCAGCTGCTGTCTGCAGCTCACCTCTGCTGTGGCGTACTTCTAGTTCCGTGAGCGCCAGAGCTTTTTTTCCCCACAGAGATTGACTCATAAGGTATTTGTTTACTAGAGACCACTAGAAAAGTGTTGAAAAAACAAGTGAACTTAGTTACTAAACTTTGCTGTTAAAGGGTTAGAGGTTCAAATAGTGATTCGGTTTCTCCTTCTGCTTCTGCTGCTTATTAAACTTTCTACATCATGAATTTTAGAACTTATGTTCACTTTTCCAACATTTTATTAAGTGCTGGCTAAGATCCCAACTTGGATTTTCTTTTCTTTATAAATGAACTCACTCAGCTTAGCCTAAGTGGCTTATTAACCAGTCACTCATGATGCTTCAGACACAAGTGACCTAATTTCACAAGTTTGGTTTCAAGGTCCTGTGAGGTGAAACTGAACCTCAGCCACACTAAACCATGTCTGTTATAGAACCATGCTAGCTTTTCTCTGCTCTCTGTTTTATATACAGTAACTCTAATATTTTATTTTACCTTTATTCCTAAGCTTTGAAGGGGATTTCGTTTTTCTGAGACTTAAAGCTGCCTTAAAGGTGACACCCACATCGGAAAACAGCTGCTGCTTTTCCACAGACGACTTTCAGCGCAGGAGACAGAATTTGTTCCTGGTGCAGCTGAGACTGAGACACATTTAAATGCAAATTCCCTTCCCCACATTATAGATTGTTTAACTCTCTTCGCCTGGTGGAAGCTGTTATTTATTTGTTTGTTTGTTTGTTTGTTTGTTTGTTTATTCATTCATTTATTTATTTATTTATTTATTTGTTTGGCATACTTTACAGTTCCGCCTGTACTTGTGGATAATGTGGCACCCCATTACAGAGCCTTTGAAATCGATAACCTCAGTATCATGAAGTAAAGACTGCTTGTCTGTGGAGAACACAGTGCCAAAGCTGAAGAATTAAAGCATCTTTGATGCCGTTTGGAAAAAAAAGGAAATGCTTCTTTGTGTCCTTGAGATACATTTTTTATTAGCTAATATATAAATACTTTTTTTGTCTTTTACCAGTTTGAAGACCACCTTGAAGAAGCAGCTATCAGGAGATGTGGTCAACCTGTCAGGAATCCCGTTGTCTGGACGTGACGTCCACCGTGTGGCATTCTACCTTCAGAACAGCAGCGACCCGGTGTCAGCCGTGGACCTGAGCTTCACCGAGTTGCAGGACGAGAGCCTACGCCTGCTGCTGCCCTGCCTGAGCCGCCTGCCAAAACTCACCACACTGGCTGTCAACGGCAATCGCCTGACATCCGCCATCCTAAAAGACCTGACGGATGCCGCCAAGGACCCCAGAAAGTTCCCCAGACTAGCGTGGATCGACATGGGCAACAATGTGGACATCTTCACCATCCCACAGCCACTACTTGTAGCCCTGCGGCGCCGCTTTGGTCTACGCAGCAGCCTTCCAACCATCTACGAGTACAGCGAGGCACAGGCGTATGGTAGCTACATCCCAAACATGGAGACCTCTGTGGAGGAGCCCAGTCTGTACGTGGAAGGGGAGGCTGAGGAGGACGACAGAGGGGAGGAGGAGGAGGACAGACTAGAGCTTCATGCCTGGGGTTTTAGAGAAGAAAACTTGTCAAAAAATGTGCTGCTCCACTTCTGTGGGAGGTGATCGCCCAGAGATGCTTCGTTTTAGACTGGCAGCCTTTTGTATCCTCAAGTCTGGCCCGATCTGTCAGCGTGGCAGGAGATGCTGACGCTGACCCACACGTTTCTGAAAATAACTCCAACTATTGTGTGTCCCAATGGATGCTCCGAATGCAGCAGACAACTCTGTGCTTGTACAGAATACATTTGCGGATTGATTTAACCTTCATTTATTCATGGAGATTTATCTGAATGAGCTTTGCGTTTTCCAGGGCTTCATGTTTCTAAAGCTCTGGGTTTTTCTTTGAATCTTCCCATTATCTGTATCCGTTTGGTGGAGCAGTCAGGGGAGTAAGTGCCTTACACAAGTGCACGTCGGCCACATCTGTTAGAGAAGGGAGGAAGCCAGTCTTCTTGTGTATTTGATTTAGTTTCACATTGCTTTCTCTAAATTATCCAACAAGACAAAGCAAAAGCAAACCAGAGCTTTCAGCTGATGGTGTTCAACGTAGGAAAACCAGACCATGAGGTACAAACCTCGTCTCTGGACCTGTGAAAAAGGATTATGGTAAGACACAAACCCGACAAGGAAAACCAGAGAAAAATGCATTAAAGTGTCAGAGAAGAATAAAGTTGCTTTTTTCCCCTAACTTTTTTTTTGGGGGGGGGGGGGGGGGGGGGGGCTATGATAAATGAGCATTTATTACCCAAAAGAATTCTCAAATTTCCAAAAAATACTATCATTTAATGGATACAATTATTTTATGGCTACAATTCCGACCCATGTGTGGGGGAATACTGAGCATCACCTCATTAAAGTCACTCCCACAGTGAAGCTGGAACGTGGGAATGTTCTCCTCAGACAGGAGCTGGGAGGCCTGTTGAATCAAGATAGGAGCAGAGCAATCCCAACTAAGCTGCCAAGAAGAGAGAGATGGGTTTCCAGGTGAACTTTTTGAAAAGTTTTGAGGCCGTCCAGGAAGATTTCAGACGTGGAGGAAGTAGAGCATCTCTGGAGAAGATGTATGTAAAAGGCTACACACAGGTGCAAACTGGTTGAGGATGGACATTTCTGCAAAGAATGTTGGATACTTTAACATGTCTTGTCTGAAGTTACGGGAAAACTCTAGGCTGCCAAATTTGAGCATGAACATTGTGGGGAATTTTATTAAAGAAATTGTGTTTTGTTTAATGTTAAGATTTAAACAGGACATGTTATGACTTTTTTCATAAGTCATTAGATCTATCGTTGATATAAAACATGTTCATGAAGTTCTTTGCAATAAATCCCTCTCACATAAATTGATTTGAACAGTTTTATTCTGTATTTTTTCAGTACCTTCCAGAATTAGCCATTTTAGGGCTCTGTTAAGTTAAGAAAATGAGCAAGTGTTGGCCACGCCCATTCCTCAGAGGGGCTCAGAGTGGAGCCACTCAGTGTGTTAACATGTACATCAGAAAACCAAAGTATTGCCCTAAAAGACTCACGAAGATTTTTTTAAGTGCATGTAAACGTGTTAGTCTGACTGAAAGCAAACTGATTCCAACAGAGCTGAAGTACACAGATAATGCAGTAGTAATCCAAATACACTCTGCATGTAAACATGTCAACCGAGTTTATACAGTTTGGACGCTCACATTCCGGAAGTGACAAGACCGTGGAAAACCATCGTCACAAAGCAATATGCGTAACACCATAAAACAGGACAGTACGCATCAAATAAGCTGTACTGCGGCGTAGTTGCTGTGCATTCATTCAGTCATTGTGCATATCCCATTTCAGTTCTGTTGCTATAAGCTAACTGGAAGAATGTCATCATGAAAAGGGATATGTTGCCACCTACTGTACTGGAGTGGAACAAACTCTGTTTGAGAAGCTGGCTTTCTAATGTGGATGTAAACTAGGATAAAGACTCCCAGCTTATTGCAATAAGATCGGCCTGGATCGACTTAGATGTTGGTCAGTGCACTTGTAAACGCACTGACTGCTTTTCCAGCAGCTCTCTCATGCACGTGATAGGTGGTTCAAAATTTCCTTGGTTGTGACATCACAAATAGGAACCTTTTGAAACGGCTTGTGCTAGGAACGTCATTTCTAAAACCAAACATTGACAGAAAAGCGGTGGATGGATATTTTCAGGTCTGGAGTGTTTGTAGAGGTAGTAGTGGTCCACACGACAGCACAAATGAAGAGTTTTGCATAAAATGTCCCCTTTAACCTTCTAATATAAGAATAGGTAGTGTGACAATAATTTTTAGTAAACATTTGACTAATTTATATTTTTCTAAGTTTTTTTGTTTTTCTTCTTTTTTTCTTAACCCTGCTGACAGATTTCTCTAAATAATTACCCAACAAGAAAGTTTTCAGCAGCTGGTTTTGTTATGACATGTTTTCAACCAGGACTCAGGTGGCGTTCTGTGCTGCCTGTTTTTTAAAATTGTTTTTCTTTTCCAATAAACCATTTGGATAAAAGCCAGTAAATCAACCTGGAACCATATATGTTGACATTTTCAGCAAAGTGTCAGAACCCAAGTCCCCAAGCCAGCCTCTCCCAGCTAGCCGATCTCCACCATGGACCACATCTCCCAGCATGCCCCTCGCGGGGATTCCCTCCACGTCACACCTACGTCACTAACCGCGATTATATACGGAAGTCGCCTCCCCAGCTCACCACTCAGTCACCGTTTCTTCAGATCCATGATCAGAGTTTCCAATCAACCGTTCCATCTTACGAACTATCCGCTCACAGTAAGTGTTCTTACTTACTTCTGGAAAACCCAGCATTTCCGTGTCACTTTATTGACGCTCGAACGCTCGGGGATTCCTAGATTAAATTGTGAGCCAGCGTTTCACCGACACTATCACTTCCGCATCTGTGAAACCACGCTCTCTACAAGCTCAACTCCCGAATACAGCTGACCAGTCTGACAGGATGACTGAGTCCCTTAACCCAGCGGAGTTTGAGCGAATGAAGAATGAGATTGTTCAGCTTCACATCTTGGTCGACCGGCTCAACACCAAGGTGAACTCTGACCGACCTCACCCTTCAATTATCCACATCCATCAATGCTCTTCAGCAGCAAGCCCTCACTCCACCTAAGGAGGAGCCACAGTTCAGCCTACCGGAGAGGTGGAACGGAGAGGTTGGGAGCCCAGATGGTCTGCTCGCCTCCCTCGACATGCAATTCGAGTGCCAACCAGGACGCTTCCCCACTGCCCGCTCTCGGGTTGCGCACCTCACCTCCCTGCTTTCTGGACACACTCAGAAGTGGGCCGCTGCTCTCTATAATTCTAAATCCCCTGCCTGCAATGACTATGCTGCTTTTGTGGCTGCCCTCAGGAAGACCTTCGTTCCACCCAGTAGTGAAGTGGGGGCTGAAGCACGTCTCCTCAAGCTCCGCCAACGGAAACGCTCGGTGTGCGCCTAGACGTCCGAGCCTGCACCAATTCTCCCAGAGCACCGTTTCCTGGCCCACCTAAGGTGGCCGTTGGAGGAGGCTATCCAGAATGCCCTCCGGGACGACCCCGCACCTCCAGAGACCCCCGCGGGCTGTCTCTATGTCCCTACATCCTGTCGCAGCGAGGCGCTCTCCTGGGCCCACTCGTCACGCCTGTCTGGCCACACGGGGTTCTCTCGAACTCTGAAGTTCCTCCAACGAGCACTCTGGTGGCCATGCATGGCGAGGGATATTAAGGACTACACTAGCGCCTGTGACATCTGCGCCCACTCCAAGACACCCAGCCAGGCCCCTGTTGGTGTCCTCAGACCTCTTCCAGTGCCCAGCCGTCCTTGGTCCCACGTGGGTCTGGATTTCGTCACAGGACTCCCCCCGGTCAACAACCTCAACACGGTCCTCACGGTCACTGACCGTTTTTCTAAAGCTGTCCACTTCATCGCCCTTCCGGGTCTCCCTTCGGCCCGACGCACGGCGGAACTATTCCTGGAGAACGTGGTGCACCTCCACGGCTTCCCTGTCGATGTGGTCTCCGACCGGGGTCCCCAGTTTACGGCCCAATTCTGGAAAGTCTTTTGCCACCTAATGGGAGCATCGGTCAGCCTATCCTCAGGCTATCACCCGCAGACCAATGGTCGGACGGAGCGGGTTAACCAACAGCTGTGTCGGTACCTCCAGTGCTTTGTCTCGGCCCAACCCTCGCAATGGCCTAAATACCTCCTCTGGGCAGAGTTGTCCAACAATCTTCACACCTCCTCAACCACTCATATGTCCCCTTTCGAGGTCTGCTATGACTACCAGCCCCCGGTCTTCACCCACCAGGAGCCCGAAGTTGCTGTACCTGCCGCACAATCCCTAGTGAGGTGCTGCAAGAATGCCTGGATCAAAGCACGAGCTTCCATCACCCGAGCTAACGCCCGTTACGCTCACCAACATCTCCGCCGACACCGTCCTGGTCCCTCCTATGTCCCTGGGGATAAGGTCTGGGTGTCCACCACGGACCTCCACTTCCGTGCCGGATCCAAGAAGCTCGCACCCCAGTTCCTCGGGCCTTACACCGTACAGAAGGTCATCAACCCAGTCTCGTACCACCTGCAGTTGCCGGCGAGTCTCCGCATTCATCCCACCTTCCACACCTCCCGGCTCAAGCCCTATGTGGACTCCTCCCTGCTTCCGCCTCTGGCTCTGGCACCTCTGCCTGCCCGCTTCCTCGACGGTAAGCCCATCTACACCATCCAACGCATCCTGGACGCCCGTTGCAGAGGTCGGGGATGGCAATACCTCGTGGACTGGGTGGACTACGGCCCCAAGGAACGCTCCTGGGAACCGGCCCGCTCCATCCTGGACCCTACCATTATCTCTGACTTCTGGGACCACCGGGGCCGCCCTGGGACTTCAGGAACCGTCCCTGGATGGGGGGTCCTGTCAGAACCCAAGTCCCCAAGCCAGCCTCTCCCAGCTAGCCGATCTCCACCATGGACCACATCTCCCAGCATGCCCCTCGCGGGGATTCCCTCCACGTCACACCTACGTCACTAACCGCGATTATATACGGAAGTCGCCTCCCCAGCTCACCACTCAGTCACCGTTTCTTCAGATCCATGATCAGAGTTTCCAATCAACCGTTCCATCTTACGAACTATCCGCTCACAGTAAGTGTTCTTACTTACTTCTGGAAAACCCAGCATTTCCGTGTCACTTTATTGACGCTCGAACGCTCGGGGATTCCTAGATTAAATTGTGAGCCAGCGTTTCACCGACACTATCACTTCCGCATCTGTGAAACCACGCTCTCTACAAGCTCAACTCCCGAATACAGCTGACCAGTCTGACAGGATGACTGAGTCCCTTAACCCAGCGGAGTTTGAGCGAATGAAGAATGAGATTGTTCAGCTTCACATCTTGGTCGACCGGCTCAACACCAAGGTGAACTCTGACCGACCTCACCCTTCAATTATCCACATCCATCAATGCTCTTCAGCAGCAAGCCCTCACTCCACCTAAGGAGGAGCCACAGTTCAGCCTACCGGAGAGGTGGAACGGAGAGGTTGGGAGCCCAGATGGTCTGCTCGCCTCCCTCGACATGCAATTCGAGTGCCAACCAGGACGCTTCCCCACTGCCCGCTCTCGGGTTGCGCACCTCACCTCCCTGCTTTCTGGACACACTCAGAAGTGGGCCGCTGCTCT